TAGAGTGTTTATAGAACGACAGCAGAAATTGCTTTCTGCTTCATATATTGCCGATTCAAATCGTACAAAATGCACTGTAATGAAAATTCATTATGGGCCATTTAAGTCCATGATTACCATTGCTCTTTACGCTGTTGCACATTAACTACAAGCAACACTTTAAACTGTTGCAAATCAAAGAGTACATCCACTTTCTCTCCCCCGTTTCGCACATTCCTTGGCAAAGGATGGAGTCCTTTCGAATAGTTCTCACGGAGAACAAACAACACGATAATGGTCGAAATTAAATGTATCACGTTGAGACAGAAGGGAAGTGTGCAAGTCGGAAGGGTGGAAATTATGGAATAACATATTACTACTTGAGCTCGTGACCAATTGGCGCTTCCCCGAGTGACAATACCATTGGTCCTCTTGACCTGAATAACCCTTGGTGATATGAGCTCATGGAACGACCTCCTAAATCGTGTGTATCAGTTTAATGTGGAAGCCGAATTGGGAAAATCTCTCGAGAAAATGAAAGTATTCCAGCCTGGGGATGAAAATCATAAATTTTATCATTACGGTGAAAATACGAGAACGAGCTTTTTTATAGTATTTGAAAGCCACCACATGATCGCAAATATAAAAGAGCGTGATTTCTGTTGGTATACAAAATACTTGGAATTCAAATCACGGTCTAATGTTTGCCACACTTTGCTAGTCCATATCGATTACTAGGTAGATTGGAAATATATTCTGTCATATTGTTGTAATGTGTATGAGTTGTTTTAGACTATTATTCTTGCAAATAATCTGTTTTTTACATGCATTAAATTGTCTGTGAAATTGCCATCAAATTCTCCTCTGTTTTTGATCATGGAAATTGCGCTGTTACGTTTCATGAATATTTTTGAGCTAAATCTGAATCTAGAATAACAACGCTCTCACATAGATTCAGAATTTGTCAGCTCATATATATTTTTGCCGCGAAAGTAAAGAAATATTATGTGGCGAGAAGTGACACTTTGTCATCAGACACTCAACCACAACTCAATTAGTTCTTTATGGCTTTTGACCCTTTTAACATAGAGGTTCATGTGCAGACCGTCAATGACTTTATCACTTGACCCTTAATGGAATCGTCGAAGCTTTTCTCGCCAGATACTGCTGAAAGCTCATGACTTGTATATAATGTTGAATTGTGAGAGTCGCTCGTGGTGGGGAAAAAAACCCAATTTCTATCCACCACTAGTCACTTGCATTTCGGAATATCTACTCGCTATAGCTGTTGGTTGAACCCAACTTGAAGCCAAGCACTCAAAGTGGCAACGTGTTTAAAATTGAACACCAAATGGAGCACACTTTTATGGATATTTATGTAGATGTGTGTGTCAATTAGTGGAAGCTTTCAGTGGCTGAGAGGAAAAAAGTTAATGAAGTCAGCTTTTTGAGGCGGCTTCCAAGGGGAGCCTCGATGGATGAGGGGCCCATAGAGTGCTCTTTAGTGGGAACAAGCCAGTAAAATGTAGTCATTAAATCCAAACCTTTTCATATCCCATTAAGTGTGGAAAAAAGAGCATTTTAAATATGATTTTCCATGTAGAACCAGTGTTTGTGTAACAAATTGATTTTTTGGTCTTCGCTCCGCATTTTACGAGTACGCCTTGTAACCCCGCACTATGCATTCCGGGCGAGATAATCATAATGATATTACAAGAGCTCTTAATTTCATTCTGGGGTGGTATTCTCACTGAATACTTGAGCAAATTTATTCTGTTTGAATAATAAAACTGATGAGTAATGAAATTCTTTGTGTTGCTTGCCTTCCTCTAGGCGAATGTATACGTATAATTTGGCACATATTGTGATTTAATGAGCATTGGCATGCTCTCTGATTGCCGTGTGACTGCTCTCTGGCCGATATTATTTTCAGCCAAAGTTATTTGGAACATTTGTTGCATAAAATGCCTAAAAGCCCGCGAGTTCTGCGACTAATCCACATCAGCAGAATTCGCTGATAACTTATGTATTTTCATGAATTAGCAATAAAAGTCTAGAAACATTTCAATGGTATATATACTGATGGATTTTACAGAAAAATTGCTTCAAGAACAAATAAATAAATGAATTCACACACTATTGAGCTTTCTGGAAGCGGTCGATGAAGGGCAAATTGTATACTTCAACACAATTCTTGTATATTGTTTGTTGAAATGATTTATGATTCTGTGCTAATGCCAATCATTTGCGCGAAGGACCGGGAATGTGTGGAGCTTTTATTTAAAGAGAGCACAAAGAAATACAAGCACAGCAGCAACCCACTTCACATGAGCATGGCTTTGTTTATATACACTGCTCAAAAATCCATTTCCATCCATGTCTTGTGGAAAAAAAATCAATCTTTCATTTCACTGAAGTTCTTGATGTGAAAAACAAAATATCGAGCATGAAATGGATGTTTCAATACAAAGTGTTCCTTTTTTTCTGGCAACAAAGCACTATTTGAGTTTTGCAACATTGGTTCTGGTATTCGTTGCCAGGGAAATCGCATGTTTTCTGACAGGGATTTAGAGATTTTCCGGGAATATATCAATTTAGGTTTAACACAGAGTTTGTTCATTAATAACTGACACAGATTTATTTCCATTCTTCACGTGTAATTGTGGGAGAAAAATTTTTTGAGTGTCAACTCAGTATATTTGGTGAAAGTACGAGTCAATATTTATTTTATCGGAAGCACTGCATTTGCCATACCTTCAATTCGGATCACGTTCTGGGAAATCTACTACTCTGCTCCTCACATTGTCACACTTTTCGTCTCCAATGTCAAAGGGGCTTCATTTCACAGAAGTTTGCCTCACCATCGAGTTGAGAAACCCTGGGTCTGCACGAAAGAATATTACAACAACAGTTTGCTTTTGTAGGTAAGTATATAATGTCACTGAGCAGAAAGTACAAAAAACTATCGAAAACTATTGAACTGGTGACTCAAAGGGTAAAGTTGAAACTATAGACTGAACATTGTACATACATGTGAAAGGGTTGAGACTAACCTGCATGATTTCAGAGGGATAAGATGGGACAGAAAGTTCTAAAGTGATTTTGGTTATAACGGCAGGTATTTTGAGCTTGACCAATCAACTTTCCCATGCCAGAGTGGAAAGTCCTCTTCAATTTGCGAGGAGAGAAAGTCGAAAACTTGATAAGAGTCTTGATGTGAACCTTTTGAACAGAAATCACAAAGCTGGAGCGAATCACAAGAAAAGGCATTAATTCTCTGATATATTTTGGTGAAATCTTCCAAAAAATTCGCCCCAGAAAACTTGAATTGTACTATTTTGTGCCTGAAATTACCTAGGAAATATTACATGATCGCGATGTATAGTTGAGATGCTTAATGTTAAACATTTTATTGCAAATTTCCTCAGTGAATATGTGTATGTGTTGGAGGGAGATTCTTTGTAGAGAGACCTTGTTGTATTTTCTATAAGAAGTAGGGAGAGGCTTTCGCTGATGAGAAAATGTTTACGGCAACGCTAAGAATTTTAATTCTGTGCATGACTTGTTAAACGTCAGAAGCTTTAAATAGGTTAAATTTATTCATTTCTTTCTCTGCTCTCCAAAAGGCATCTTGCAAGCAAAACAGCAAGTCCTATTTCTCGTAATACTGTTTTGTGGGAGTGTTTGATGTTTTATTTCTTAAACAATCACGATCAATATAGTCATTCGATCCCACCCGCTCTCAGTCGTCTTGCTTGTGTGTTGTTTAGATCCCAAACAATCACTTACTGGAAATTATGTAAGGTGTTTTGCAATCTATAAATACATGTATGTAGAATTTCCAATAATTTGCAGCACCACGATAAAAGACAAAATCTGCTTTGAGTCTCTCTGGCTGTTTCAATAGTGCGTATCTTGAAATAAAATAAACATTCATGACGAGAAAGTCGAGTGAGCAGCTGCTTTAAGGAATTTTCATGCTGTTTAACATGGGTGAATCAGTGACTTTCTGGTTTTATAGTGATACGGTTGCTTACTCCTTTTGCAATTAAAGCCAACAAGCTCTCACCGAGACACTGAACTCCACTCAACTGGCCCAAGATTGCTCAGAAGTGAGGAATTTTCTCAAAAGTGAAATGGGTCCAAAAGGGATGATTATTATTTGCCTCAAAGGGATTTCTGGCCTGATCTGCTACACGCCTTTCGAGATTAATGTTATAGCTCACATCATTGAGTTTTCACTGGATGTCTTTCTGCAAAGAAATTTGTGATCTGATGAAACAGAGTGATTCTCATGAAGTGTCCTGAAAATACTGCCACATGTGACGCCTAAGCTTTACAGTGAAGAATGTGTATTTCGATAAATCTACTGTTTGAAGGGGATTTGGAGGGGGATGAAGGCTGATAGGTCTCTCACAGACAGGTTTCAAAGTACATATATGGGCGATAAGTTCAATTTGCATAGGCATTAGTGCAATTGATGCAGATATTTGTCTATGAGTTAAGGTGGACATTTAATTTGAGTCACTCTGTATATATGTTGTATCTGGCAAATTGCCACAAGACTCTCGCATAGAATCGTTGCTACAATTGTCCACAAGTTGATTCTGTGACTATTTTGCTTTGCAGAAGCCACGCAGTACATCATCTTGTCGGAACGGTGTGCCTTATCGGTTGTGAATTCGCCCTCTGGCCCACAATCGCTGTCGCCCAGGTGAGAACTAGCAACGCAGACTACAAGGTGGGACAGAGGGACATGGATAAGAGGGCACTGAAGCCGAACAGATGTGAGTATGATGTCAAAGCCGTAACAATTTTCGCACTGGAAAGTGTGCCCTCCATAGCTTTTCCAGCTGAGAGACTCTCGCATGAGAGATTCTCTCTCGTGTGGCCACATTTCCCCTCAACAGCTCAGCTCTCCACCACGTCTGTGCAAAAATTATTCCATATGACTGAGGGAGGGAAAATTCCTTTGCGAAGTCACTATCAACTAAACACCCAATTCTCGGAACGCTGCCAGTATTCTGCAGTCCCCTCGATGGTCACGACGTGCCACGCGCCGCACTATCGTCGAGTTTGAGGCTTGTGGGGTGGTGCTTGGCTGTTGCCAACAGGCGCAATTTGCATTTCTCCACAAACTTTGGCCATTCGTGCGAGAGTGCATTGGTGAAAATTGGATTTAGTGTCTTAGTGAAAGTGCGCGCGAGTCACTGAGAGAAATGTACTGTGCATGAAATTGTGATTATGCTGAGAGGCGTCGAGATGGTGAACTGCGAGTGCAAGATGTAGAGTTGCGGAAGTATGTGCGTTGCCTAAGATGACTCTGAAAGTGCTAAAGGTGGCAGAATCAGTGATTTCCTGGTGACTCTGCATCTTGAGATTTTGCCCCCCTCGAAGATAATGACTAAAATTTGGTAAGTGATAATTACGATCCTAACACCTCCCAAATGTATTCCCACCATGAATAAGTAAACACGCACGAGAAAGTTTAAAGCGATGTGCTCGCTCCATTTCACAATCCTTCATTGCTCAAAGGACCATTTGTCCTTTCTTTGTTGACTAACTGCGAGGCATGTGAGGCATAAAAGTTATTTTTCATTTCGATTGAGCACCAAAAGAATTTTTCAATCTTCAACTTTTTCCTTCGGCGCAAAAGACGCTCCATTTTCGAGCAATTTGCTACAAATTTTCCCTCCACAAGAGAATGACTTTTCCACTGAGTGGTAAAAAGTTGTATGTATAAAATTGCCATTGAAGTGAAATGAAAAAATCCTTCATTTGAAGCATCCACAAAAGCTCTTCAATTCTCAAAAGTTTTTCTCACAAGAACTTTCTGTCACCCAAAATCATAAAAGGGAAACACTTGGATGATTGAGTTTTTCCACATTCTTTCACGAACTCATCATCATTTTCTGTAGAAAAGAGATCCGTTTCACACCAAGAATGTTTGCAAAATGGGAAAAAGTAGTATTTTTCACACGTCGCTTGTGTTGAAAATCGAAAGAATGGCGTACGAATGATATTTTATAAGTTTTCCATGACATTTGTGGCCATTGCTGAATATATAAATGGTAAAGTGAAGACTTTATTCTCCTGTTGGGACATGTGTGTTTGTGTGTAAAATGTGTTGAAAAGGATAACATACTGCTAGGAATTTGATGAAAATATATGCGGTTCAGGTGGCTTCCAACTTTGACCATTAGAAAAAAAAGTAGAGATATGGGATGATGGAGAAGAACCTTCCTGAAAAATCATCTTTCTCCCATCTTTCTTCCACTTCAATGCCCACGCTTAGAGTCCTTCTCTCGGGCAATATCCTGAGAAATGGGATCCGAGAGGCGACACTTGTCTCGCAATCTTCACACTTAGTTGATATTATGAACTGCTAGAGAAAGTTCCACTTGAGATGGAGCCGATTGGGGTTGAAATTCAGTTAAAAGCGCTTCCGAGCGGGAAAAGCGCTATTAGCCTGCTGAGTGAATCGGGACGCTATGGAAAATTTAATTATTCTGTTAGATCAATTTGCTTATAGCAAAAAAGTTTCATAGATCTAAATGCAAGTTTAGGTAGAATTTTCTGAGGAAATATTTCGGATTATTCGCTAATTTATATTTCGCAAAATGTCATTGCAATGGTTCAAAATTGTCACTTGTCAAAGACATAAGACGCTGTTAATTTTGGTTTTTAATTGCATGAATATGTTTGTTGGGGAACATCTGCTCATCGTGATTTCTTATTAATCACACACACATACAGGAAGGAAAAGCTTAGGAAAGCACAGCATCATGCCTGTGTTTGACATTAAGGTTTATAAATGGAAGCTCTCCTTTCATTTTAATTCTAAACAGAATCTCTCGTGATGCCACAAGAAAAACACGGCCTCTATTTGATCCGAGTTTGATTAATGATTTATTTGTATGGCATCAAAGAGGGGCTGTAATTAATTCCATTGAAATTTCATCATATAAAAAAAGTCCTCTCCCCTGGACTATGCGGAATAGGGAGACGCTTATCCGTTCATTGCATGCTAATGCGAGCAACATAATAAATGGATGGGATATTATGGAGGAAAAAGCATCCCATGTTATTTGCGCTTTGGGTGGAAAAATGAAGAAATCAATTTCAGGCTTCCTTCCAAGCCTCACTTAATTAGTTTCAATTAATTATTTTTCCATGCCACCGAACATTGATCATGTGCTGCTGAAGTAATCTTCATGCCATGCACGAGGCTCTCGATGGTAATTGAAGTCAAAAATACTCCCATCATCATCGTCATTATCGTGCTTATCAATATTTTCAGCGACAGAATGTCCGTTGAGAGGAGACCCAGTCAATATTACGGCGTATTGATTTTTCCTTCTGTCTCTCTCTCAATTATTCAATTTGCCAATAAACGTTGATTGCATTTCATTGTTACAAAAGTTACATTCCAATTGGGGGTAGATCTAAAAAACAATTACTATAGCCACCCCTTCTGCACTGCCTACTATAATTTGCCCAATTTGGGTGGACTGGAATCACTTCACTTAGCGGTGAATCGGCAAATAATGCAGGAAATGCGTTTTGTGAAGTGGATAAAGAAATCCCATCAACATTAAGCATACAATATTCAACAGGTAGACTCATGGCATAAACGACGAATTTCACGATCTCTAAGACCAACTACTCACTAATGTTTTTATTATTATGTTTATTGTAGTTACGCTCATTTCATGCACGGAACTCACCTAGTGCCAATATTTGCTAAATTTTCTCAGTAAATATTTTCACGTTCTGCTGTTGTTTATGGTGTCACTCAAGTCTGATGTCAGTTGGACTTGATTTAGTCTTCTTTATATTCTTCGACTATTTTAGGACTCACTTCTGTTTATACTGTTCATCGAATTCATTTTCTTTGTTAAACTCTGCATAATGCATTACAATCAAAGTGAGGTATCCAATTTTGCCAAAAGATATGAAATTATTACGAATTCAACCAGATGCTTACTTCTATTTGTGTGTAGAAACATCAGTACCAAACATTTCACTTCACCAGTATGTTATATTTTATCCTACTCTGCATATTACTCCTAAAATTCTCTTTGTATTAATCTTCTATTTAACTTATCTAACTTATTCAACTTTATCTTCATTCTTCTGCCGTTGAAATGAAGCAAGCTGAGAGCTCTTGCAACTCTATTATGTTACATATGAAAGTTTAATGAGTGACAGGAATTAAACATAAAGATTCTTGCTTGGATTTATCAAAATAACTAATCACCAAACATTATTAAAGTTCATGAATTCTTCAGGGATCACTGAAGTGCGCTCAATGGCTGTGTTGGTTATTGAACGAAATTTCATAAGCTTGCATGTAAATGTCTAATTTTCTCAAATGAATTATATTTTGGCCATCTCATGGGATTGACTAATTGAAATCTTGTATCGCCGACATGAAGCCCGTTTGCTTGACAAATTCCCATCGATTTAGAGAGCCATTATCCCATGTCATTTCACCAGCATGGCTAAACCTATTAGATAAAATCCACTCTCACGCTCACCCTAATCTCGCAATGATGACAATCTTTGAGGATTCCTCTTGGCTTTTTACTTTTTGCATAATTACTAACCCTGTGCGTGTGTTCTCTTTCTCGTTAACAGATACGCAATTGTAATGCTAACGCTAGAGGTCGTACTGAAAAAAGGAGAAAGTCTAAAAGCACGCACCCACACATTCACGCACTACTGGCAACTACTTAAGGTTGTAGGTCGGAAAAAGCTTTTGAATAAATCACAACCATCAAAAGAAGAGCGACGAGAGAAGTTTGTGAGTCATCGTTGGCAGAATCATCAAGGAGCGACCGAGGAAGCGAGTGGAGAGGTGGTAGTTTCTCCGTGGAGGAGAGGAAGAGCTATATAATTTGGATTGTGTGTCTAAATTTAGCTACAAATCGATATTTGAGTAAATAAATAAAGTTTGATCCTCCTCATCCGCAGGAGATATCAGAATAGGGATTAGATATGCAAATAGTTCTCGCACGACAATGGCCGGTCCGCACTCGCAACGACCCATCAATGTGTACGCGACGGAGATGGCAGAAGTGTCCTCGAGGACGCCCATGCACCAGCCCCAGCAGGCGGGCGGCGGGGCGGCCGTGGAGGTGGCCGAAACGGTGGGCATCGGACAGAGGACGGAGGAGGGCGTCGACGGCGCGGAGCAGTCCGTAAATGCAATTGCCACGAGGGGCGCCTCGAAGGAGGAGGGCGACGTGGAGGGCTCCACGAAGCGTCGCAGGAACAAGCATAGACCCCTGCTTCGTCGCCTCTTCAACTATGTTAGGAACACACTGATAGGAACAAAGTCCTCAGCCGACGGTAATGCTCGCTAGTCCTGTGCTTTATCTACCCCCAGAGCAAATCCCCTGTGTCTCAACCACCCACTCCCCAGGCAATGCTCCGCCACCGCCGGATGACGGCGATGACATTGCTAGTGAAACCAATACATGGGAGTTTAAGTTTCTTATTTTCTGTGTCTCCATTCTCGCTCTTGATCCCACACCGTAATCCTTTTAAAAATTTTCCAGATGGTTCTGTCGTTTAGAAAGTCCATGCATTTCCAAGTAGAAGCCCTGATTATATACTTCACATAAAAAGTCATCTAAGACGTGTACACTGAGAGAAATCCAAGGGCGCAGTTTCCATTCTTCTCTACCAACTTTGTACATTGTGACAATGAAATTTGCACATTTTCCGACTTTGACGAGCCATTTTCTCGAGTGTATACATTTTAAAGCTCCTTGTATAAAAATTGAGCGTTGAATTGATGAACAATTTTCTACACACTTTTCTTTCTCTCTCTGACAGATCTTGAATTAGAGGAGCTCGAATTGCCGCCACGATATAGACCTGAGTCCATAAGTGCCCTATGCCAAATAACGCGATTCAACGAGGCCGAAATCAAGAGGATCTACCGGGGCTTTAAGGCGGAATGTCCCTCCGGAGTGGTTCGAGAGGACACCTTCAAGCTTATCTACTCCCAATTCTTCATGCAAAGTGGCTTGGGTGAGTTTTATGCTTAGACGAGGAACACTTAATTTATTCATTTGCCCCAAACGCTGGGTGGTGGGCGAGCGGTATAATCAGGGCCAATGGAAAGGAAATGCCTGGTGGAAAAATAAGATGATAAAGTAAAAAAAGAGAAACACTTTGGTGGCTCCGTGATGAAAATAATCGCGATAATAATACAGAAAATATTACACTCAGATGTGTCTTCCGCAGACACAGCAAATGTATATATTTCCGGACGCAGGGGTATTTTTGTTGGGGAGCACCACAATAAAATTACCTTATTCAGAACTTTTCTATGTAGATCCAAATATAGCGCCACTTATTTCCATTCTATATACAACCCCCAGAAGGTGGTGAATGATGACAGAAGTGAAGTGGGTAGAAAAGGGAGGAATTTTGGCTATGACTGAATCCATGACAATATATATGGCTCATCATCAAGGAAACAAATGACGTGACGGTAGAAATATGTAATTCCGTACGGGAATTAAATTGTGAGATTTACTCATGGAAATTTGCAAAATGTCTTATAATCCATAATAACCCGGTCTTGAAGTGGAATGTTGAAGGCAAACAATGGATCAGAGAATTTCAGGACAGAGTAATTCAGGAGTGAAATGTCCTCAGCGTCTTAACGTCACTTTTTCACGGAATTCCTTGACTTTACGTGTGCAATTATAGTGTCTGGAACAAGCAGTGTAGTACGATATTCCGTTGGAAATTGACTTGGAGATCTTCCAGAAATAAACTTTGATGCACCCAAACTTTGCACTCTTGTCATCGCAATTATGAGGAATTGCAATATTAATAAGCTGCAGCTTCCGTTTGTGCATGAGCTATTTCTGATTTTTCGACTCTGCTGCATAATGAATACTTTATTATGAACTTTTTTCTTAAACTCTTCTGACTTATTTTTCAACTTTCTATTCACTCTTGAAGAGAGTATAAAATATTGCAATATATTTCATATTTTGATGATGTTATGAAATCCTAAAGAGAATTTATATGTATAAAGCTGCTTATAAGCTGTCATAATGCAATTTTTCCCATTGAAGGTTGTTCGTTTCAGCATAAGAGCAAAATTTTCAAGAATTTTTCTTTCGTTATTGGAAGAAGTAAGGTTGTAGTTATTTTTCACACTCATGGAAGCACTATTCGTTAAAATTTTATATAACTAGAAGAGCATGCACAAAGTACAGAAATATTCACTAATTGGCTTCAAGTGTGGAAAAATTCATGAGAAGCCAAAAAAGTCACTGAAAAATTCAATATTTGTTTCCATAGAAAATATAAGTTTAAAACTTTCTCTTCAAAAATTCAAGCAGATTTTTATCCACTGTGTCGAATGTTATATTTTAGCATCATTGACACGCAATTTCCACTGCGAAGAGAGGCCATATGATTATTCATCGATTTATTAACTACAAGGTCAATAAACCACATGAAATTTTGATTCTTTCGACTTGAAGCCTTAGACATTACAAACAGATAACACGAATGCTTCTGAAATGAATGTAATTTCATAAATTATTATGATATGCACACATATTTTACAAGTTTTAAACTTTTTTTGACTCTCATCCAGATGTATTAAAATGACTATAAAGAATACTGGGAACGGAAAAAAATATTATTCATAAAAAGTATTTTTTCGTATTTTAAATTTGAAATATCAAGTTGGGGGGTTCGAAATCGCCATGATAGCAAAAGTAACCGTTTGAGCATGAATCAGCGGAAAAATTGCGCATACAGTAAATCAATAACATGCAATATACGATGAAAGTAATTTATTTATTATAATAGCCGAGGCATCGTAAATTTCTCGCAGAAAGTAATAGAAGTGTCTTGCAAGGTGGAGAAGAGATACATTTTAGAGAGAATGATAAAAATAAGGATGGGCTGGTATTTATGGTAAAAATATTCCATTAGAAAAGATAAATATCACGGTTGAAATGTAGGTATAAAATATTTGCGGGAGAAAGATATATTATTCAGGGGCTACCCAAATTGTTAAAAGGTATAATTCAAATTTCTAACACTTGGTTTCTCCATGAATAATTTTAGACAATCACAATCCTGTCTTTGCAGCCAACAGTGGACCATATGCTCACTACGTGTTCAATACGCTAGATCAGGACAATAGTGGCATTATAAATTTTGAGGTGAGTCAGAGTGACAATTTTGACAAGTCTAGAAAACAAATTTTCATAACAGACAAATCTTCATATTTTTTTCATGGTTCTTCGTAAACGATTTGAATGCAAAAGCAGCTTCAAAGTCAGGAATGTTTTCGCAATTCACACCAATACATTTATTCAACTCCCATAGTTTTCGTGGAATAAAAACGATGGGATTTTTTGTGAATAGAGGAAGAGAATTGACGCTGAGTTTTACACTGTCGTAATATGGTGTTATTTCGTGACCCAGAAAGATGGGGCGAGCGAAGGGCCACTTTGTCGGGGAAAGTGCAAAAGAAAAATTGTCCAATTCGTTTTCACTAACACCTTTATCGTCCTCCGCTGTACTGTACCAGCTTAAATGGAGACATATTCCAGATTGCCTGGAGGATTTTGCTCCATTCCCTTCCACACTTCACCTCTTTTTGCCGAAATCCTCTGCGCCTTGTGTTATATTGCTGGAATAAACGTGATCCCCAGCTATTTGACATTGACTACAATTCAAAAGACTTTTTCCTCGCGTCAATGTATCTCTCCACGCGGCATCCACTTAATGGCGTTACTTTGGGGGCTTTGAGCGGTTCTATTAGGGCGACAGAGGTGGAGGGATGGTGTTGAATATAAATGATTTGAGAGAACAAAAAAAATTGTGTATTATTTTACAGGATTTTATACAAACACTGTCGATTCTGTCTCGGGGCTCGCTGGAGGAGAAATTGACGTGGACATTTGCATTGTACGACATCAATGGCGATGGGTATGTGACCAAGGAGGAGATGACCGACATCGTAACTGCGATTTACGATATGGTGGAGTTGGCACCATCGGAAACGCGTGCTATTGAGGAGCGCATAAAGACAAAGGTAGACGCTCTTTTCCAGGTAAGCCGCACATCATGATAAGAGATTACATTCTCGGGGATCTATTCTTCCCAAGGGGTTTCCAACTTCTTTCCGGGTTAACCATATGAGGATTCCCAAAAGCCCTAATATGTAATTAAAGTATTTCTGCTAGGTGAAAAATATTTCCGTAAATTTTCTCCTTATCAAACTTGAAACTTTATTCAGAATGAGCAGTTTATGTCACGGGGGCAGTAATATGTATTCAAGGGTGGATGAAAAGACGGTGTTTTTCTAGCGAAATGTCCTTTTAAAAGTTGAGGATGAATTTTACTCTCGTCTCAAGTCTATTTGCGCAATTGGTCGCCCCTGATTTGGCGCTGAAGCCACCTAGTGAGTCTCCGTTGAGCTCTTTATCCCAAGTATTGAACACGTGTGTGCTGGGAAAGTAGTGATAATTGATTTTTTCTCACGTTCTTTCTCCTGCAGAAAATGGATACCAACCGAGATGGTGTTGTTACATTAGATGAATTTATCGATTGTTGTCGCAACGATGAGGTCATCTCGAATTCGATGACAATTTTTGACGCTATCGTATTATGACGTTATCAACTGAAGTGAGCGCGATAATTTCGTACTAGGAATCATATAGAGAACTTTTGAATGTAAAGAATATAAACTCAAAATATTGCTCTTCTAATTAATAAAGAAAAAAAAGAAAATGAAAAAGAAGAAATCGTAAATAGACAACTCATGTAAACAGAAAAAAAGTGTTATCCCAAACCAAATATGTTTCGAAGTTCTAGAGAAATTTGAAAAAAAAGAAATCTTCAAAATTTAAAAATATACTATAATTACCACTATTGATTACATAAAACTTCTGTGATATTGCAAATGACTTTGAGGAGATGAAAAAAAAATCATAAAGAAATGAAATTCAATGTTGTTTGTAGATATGCTGAAAATATAAGACACAGCCTGCTGCAGGATGATTATATTTTTAGTAGAAAGAAGATCATCTCATGTATTCTTTGTGATTGTTACTCCAATCGTTAGATTCTCTTCAAATAAAGAATAACAATAAGAGTATGTGAAAAGTGAACCTCCTGTACTGTTGATGAAAATGATGGAACAATGAAGTTGTAAGACATCTTTCCTCTTTCCACTAAACAAAGACACAGAGTAATTGAATATCGAAAGAAAAAAAGTAATAATTAAATGTGAACTTTCCCCTCTTTCTCTCTATTTTAAAGAAAACAAAATTATTAAAAATGTGAAATCTTGTTAAATGTGAAATTTTATGTGTGGAACATGTAGAAAATTGTACGAAAATATATAAGTTTTACAGTATAAAATCGTTCATGGTGCACTTGTGGGTGGATGGCAAACATTTCCAACTAAGACAGCACACAGCATTGCTCCGCCGAAGACTCTCGTCTAGCGTCTTTTAATAAAAACACTCAGCATGGTCCCGATAACTGTGGTGTGCAGTGTATTTATTCACCTACAGGGACCTAATTACTCTGCAAATAACTCCAAGAATGTAGACTTTGCTCTGTCACTTTCGCCTCTGCTTATCGTTCAAATGAAAAAGGAAGTGCCGTATAAAATCCAAGTTAAATAGAAGAGGAACAGAAACACACATCCTCCATAATTAAAAAGTTCTCTCCTGAATTTTCCACGGATACTTCAAGTCTTTTCTATTTTCACTTTACTTCCTGCTCACTCCGGTGTGATTATCTCTTTCATGTCCCTAAAACGTTCTGCAATTCGGTGTTATGAATTGTTGAAAAGCACGTCATGTACACTGAGAGAGCAAAATCTGCTGTCAAATTGACAAACAGCACAATGCATTTAGAGAAATTGTTCCTGTTCACGTCAATCGTGAAGGTAAGAATATGCAAATACTGTCAAATCTTGGAATTGAAGCGAAAATCTAAGCGAGAGTCTTTTTAATTGAAAGAATTTTTGTCAGACATGTCTTTTGCATGTCAATGACGAAGAGACACACGAATAGAAAAACTAGACTAATTGCTATGAATGTCTTTGCATGATGCTCGCAAATTTAGGCCAAAAAATTTGGCATTCAGCGTTTTTTATTTGCAATGTTAGGAAAATTAAAATTTATTCAGCACAAACAAGGGAATTTTTATTTGGGCTTTTTGTTTGGTTTGTTCGTGTAATTGGACTTTCATTTTTAAACGTGACTTCAACAATTGATACTGCGCCCAAAAATTGAACCGGAAAATTCAATTATAGCCAACAATATATAAAAATTGGACGTTTCCCTTGCAATTTTATATTGGATGTTCAGAGTTTATTGTATAATTCAGATTTTTGCGGTAATTGAAAATATGAAGAGAGTGTTAATAATTTACTTTGATTTTTGAGTTCAAGCTGAAAGAGGAATTTTCACGTCTTCAGCAATTCCTCGAATTTGCTCATGTAAACTAACGTGAGCTATAATGTTCGTTCTTTAATTGTGTGAATATGTCACAAGACGTTGAAGAATTTCCTTTGTCACAGCTTGGTTCAATTTAAATTAATGCGAATAACCCAAAAGTTTCATAAATCGTCTTTTTCGTCAATGGCTTCACCACTTACCATATTTGCAATGTAAATCCTGTGCAGATGATAACAACGGGTGAAGTAAGCGGCAAATTTTCTTCATGACATAAGGAGATGTGATGTTGGGGAGAATGTAATATTATGGGACTAGAGAACATTGCTTCATTCGAGATAAGCACTTTCCGCTATTCAATAAAATTTTCTCTACAGCTAAATACACAGATAGAGACTCCCTAGTGGTGCTCCGAAGAGTGTAAATGAATGGATTTAGTGGAATATAACACGAGACATGACACAAAATATGATTGACGACCCGTCAAAATGACGACGCTGCGGAGAGAACGAGGAGCGACAGGGCGGCATTATTGCGAGCAAAGAAAGTCGCTTTCCTCAAAGCTTCTTGCGACTTCCGGAGTTTCTCAATACACTTGTGAATCAGCCAGCGTGCTCACTGGAATTTTAAGCATGCGACAGAAACAATGAGGCGCGCGAGTGCTCGAGCTTTCACTTTAATTCACAAGCTGCGCTCATTGAAGTCTATATTGGGGAGCTTTTCCTTCGGATGTCACAACTCACCCGGCGGTGGCAAACAATCCAATAATCATCCTGAGAGAGCACAGCAATAAAGTGCGAGCACCTGCTAATCCACCCTCATCCTCAATTGAATATCAATTCGTGGGAAAGTTCTTTGTATCGAATGCTTCTGCTCCACCGCAGAACGGCAAAATGGTTACAACATTCTCAACACTCACGTCACTCCATGCAATAGCACGCTGGCAACAGATGTACATTATTGGATATTTTTCATAGTGAGAAATAAGGGTATCATTCTCACTATTCAAGCCACATCCGCAAGGAAATTGTAATGCGCGACTATGTAATTTTTGCCCTAAATTCCTATTGCACATGTCGCTCAAGTGGGTGAACAATTGTGTGAAAAGTGTAACACGAAAGTTTCACTACTCTGTGTGTTTTGCAATGTAAGTTAATGTAGCAAATGTGTTTGACTGTTGTTATCAATGTCTATTTCAATCTGTCTCGATGATGAGCATAAATATTTCTTATCATCAGCACTATTCTGTTAACATCATCACAATTTCCTCGTTCCTTTTTTTTCTTATTGCCTACGCGAATGGGCAATTAGAGGAAAATTTTGATTGCCTCACAAATCACAAGCCGCTTCGTAAATATCAGTAAATATCCTGAATATGACACCCCGTGTTGTTGGGGTGAAGTATGCGATAGCCGGAGTCATTGTCATGTTAAAGTTCAAAGGAGAAATATGGGGTGAAGCTTCAATTTACTGGTGATGTTTGCAATGTTAGACACATGCACCATTTTCACTGCAGATCAATTGAACAAACTTTACACAAGTTTTGCTGCATTGGTTTTGTATTACTCGATATTTAGTGCCACCCCAGAAATTTCATTTCGCTCTATTCAAAGAATGCTTCATGCAATTTGGGGCATATTTTCGACTTTGTGTATGAAATTAATTTGAAATTTCATCCTTTTGTTGCACTGCAATTAGGCAAGCTGACGCTATGCTAAATTGATTCTACAAAAGCACACGAAGCACATGAAGCTATAAGAGACGAATAAACCGAAATTGATTAAGGGGACATATCTAATCAGTATATTATAATTTGTGATTAGATCTAACTATCTAAATTTGGGAGGCATTATGAGAGTGTCAAAATCATACTTTGCCTGTGAGCTTTTTTCATAGTCGAGTCCTTTTTTTCGTAAATGAAGTTTGTCTTTGCAATTTATTCGCACATTCTCTACGTGATGGTACTTATTCTGGTCCCCAAATGATCCCCGCATGCAAGGAGCGGAAGGACGACAGAGGACGAGAATGGAGTCGCGTATACAGTTTTCAATTTTGCTTCCACAGTTAGAGAGCAAACGATGAGGGGTAAAGGAACGTTGCTATGCGACACCCGAAAAAAGGATGAAGCGGGAAGCTATTTCGAGAGTCAGTGTCCTACAAGGCTTCAATGTTGCCAAGTTTTATGCCTCACACAATGACTGTTTTTTATTTCGTCGAATAAGGTGGTAAAGCTCCACTTGAGATGCGACCCAAGATGAGCCGAGAACGCCCGCCACGCAGGGGTCGTGGCTCTCACGCAAAAACGAGAGTACGCATGCTACATAAAGCGAATATTTTTATTGAATTTTATTCTACCAATATTCCGTCACATTCTTCTATCGTTCTGCAATTCAATATGACCTATATATTGAGTTGTGGTATGTCAGAGCCTCTCCTCTGGCGCTCTTCATGCTGGCTCTCAAGGCGGTGCTGGATGCTTTCTGAAAATTGAACCAAGGGAAACATCATGCGCACAGATAGCTCATGAGACGACACACCATCGCTACACTTCTCACCGCATGGTTTCGAACATTGAGAGTTACTTCTATGCCCGAAACTCGAGTGCTTTGATACTCCGTGGAGACACCATCTGGGGAATATAATCAAAACTACGCACTGAACTCATGTGAATTTTGCAACTTGTCTCAATATACGTGATTGGCAGTGTTGGTTTTTTGGAAGAAAGCAGCTCCAAATATTCCCTTTGCCTCGTATCTTATGCCGAGACGCATGACATTGAAATATTTCCTCACATCCACAGGACAAATGTGTGCGACAGACTCTGTCATGCAAATGAGTGAAATACGTATAATTTTATGATGAAATTATAAAATTATAGCAATCTGTTTCATGCTTGGTACTGTTAAAGTTTTGCTAAAAAGCAGCAACTACAATAAATTAATTCATTCGCTGTATGCGGAAAAATTCAAATGAGGCACCTGGTTCTTCCGCACTGAACAGGAAGGAGGAAAATTTAATGAACAGCATCCTCGAAAATTCAGATAGTTTGTGTGAAAATATTCAGGTGGGAAATATTCAAACAAAACCCAGTTTCCCCAAAATTGTCTCTAATGAGGCATTCTTTTGTTACACCGAGAGGTGGAAAATGCCAAAAAAGGAGGAAAAGTATGCAGAGAAAGAGGGAATTCATAAACAGAAAATGTGCATATTTTGCTGAATAATTTCAGCTACATTCAAGTTTCTCATTGAGAATTGAAGATGAGTTTCCTCAGATGCATCTTTTCCCTCACTTTTTCCTCTACTCTTGACTTTTGGATGTTGGAGATTC